GGGGGGGGGGGGGGGGGATAACCGGGCCCCTGGCCAAAACCCCCACCCAGCCGCCCCTGCCAGGAGGAGGCGCCGCGTGGCCGAACACAGCAGAGCCCAAAATGCGCTCCATTAAATATTAGTGATTAGTAAAAATGATTCACAGACAGACAAACTTTTATCATAGTTTTTGATTGAACCTTGGAATCACGTTGGTCCCCGGGAAACCCAACTTATAAGACTCATCACATCCGCAGACACATGTTCCCCGCTGCCAGCGCCATCTTTGTTTTGTCGTGGCCTGGTCTCGAAATGAAAAGCCTCTCTGGTGACATGCTGCGGCTGGAACTCGGGCACCTCTGCCCTACTTAAACGGCATTCTAAAACGATATGTCGGAACCGCGGTCACGGTGAAAGACCCCTAGCCTACAAGATGTCTCCTCAAAAAAAATGAGAGACAAGACGGCAGCTGTTAAACATTTTTTTAACCTGCCTGAAACTCACCATTGGTAACCCAGCTGTCATCCAGGCTACATAAAAAACAGAAAACCTAAGCTCCCTGCTTTTAAACTCGGTGCGGAATGAATCGTTCCCACACCTACCTCAGCTAGTGTCATTACAGCTCCCCCAGAAAGACCAGATCAGCGTCTAAAATTTATAATTTCAATGTGTGCGGCCTGAAATATTAGCCGCAGCTGATTAGCATAACGTGCTAATGAAAACGTTAGCTCACCCGTGTTTCCGTCGACAGGTTCTTTTTCAGCTCCGGTCTCGAGAAGGACACCCACAAGCAGCCGAAAACCAGCGTGGACGCTTTGCAGTGGAGGAAAAAAACCTTTGTCTTCCTCTCACGGTCCAGCCGACGGTTCGGCCACGGCGGGCGGCTCCCGAACCCGGAAACTGTCTTAAATGACAACGCCAAAAACTGTCGCGGCAAATGCAGAAACACATCGGAATAATGCGAGAAAAGTCTGCGTATGTGATAATCAAAATATGATTTTATTTGAGAGCAACAGTCACACAGAACTCAATCAGGAGGGTTCTGTCTGCTTGCTGCTTCCAGGCGTCAGCAGAATACAGCATATAATATACAATAGGCCTAACCCATGTGTCAGTTCACAACCAATCACAGATCGCCGAATGTACTGTTCAGCCAATCACAAGCTCACACCCAATCCATCATGGATTCCCGTTGTCCAGACAACGAGAGTATAACGAGCTATCAGAAAGATACAAGATGAACAGTGTCAAGGGGAAACAGACATAAATAATTAGTCCATGACATGGACTGTCTGATAATACAGCTGGAAGTTTGGGAGTGATAATCCACCACTGAATTTGCATATATGAAGTATGGATTTGCGGAATTTGGGTGATTTTCCACACCATAGAAAGCCAGAGATAACTTGGTCCAACATTTAAAAAAATGTTTTGGCAGAAACAGTGGGAGACAACTGAACAAAAACAAGAATTTGGGTGAAACATTCATTTTAATTGCATTGGGCCTCATGCAAGAACATGTTCGTATTCTTCTCCTAAATTTCTCTTACTTTTGTTCGTACAAAGGGTT